AGAATTTCGAACATTGCCTAACGTTTAGATACTGTAAATGTGATTAAAATATGGTTTAATTACATGGTTAGTGGTTTGAAACGTTCATAATCATTGCCACATAATAAGTGTGTGTTTAATGGGCGGTTTCAGTTGAATGCAAATTTAATACTAAGGCTCCTCCTCCCCTATAAAAGCTTGGCATCTGATTTTGGAGTCACATAACACACAACATACAGAACGAAAACACACGACAAGAGATCACACAAAATACTCGTAGCGAAGTCTTGAAAGAAAAACTGTGTCAAACTTGCGATAAAACTTCCTGAGTTCTACCCTTTGTTCCAGTTCGCCAGAGCAACCTATTGAGTGCTCAATACGGTTGTTCATCAGTTATCGTATCGTGGGAAACTAACACTGCAACGCTCCTAGTACCGTGGGAGGCAGTGAATTAGTTTTAAGGATACTGTGTGTTGCATACGCTTTGACTGAACCTGTGACCAGTTCTTTGTCCAATTCCTTCGGCCATTTTCTTAATTTCCTTTAATTTCTTATTTTTCGGAAAAACCAAACATTGATTTCTCCTACAATCTTAAAACTAATTCACTATAAACGTTGCGGTTTGGTTTTTACGAAAGTTGTTTCACTACGGAAACAAACTTAAAAACTAACTCCGTGTTTTTTCTGAAAAATGAAATAAAAATGGGATCTCTTGGTAACAAAAATGTTCTTGTTCGGCAAAATGAAACTCACTCTCAAAGTGGAGTTCCGGTGAACACTGATTCACAACGCGGAACATCTGCTTTGGCTAACCAAGGTCCAATCCCTATGATTACTGTGCCTAGTAACTATGTGGAGAAACCCGAAAAGTTTAATGGGTTGAACTTTAAGAGGTGGCAGCAAAAGATGCTATTCTGTCTCACTACCCTTGGCTTGGCAAGGTTCTTGACCGAGGATGTGCCACTTCTAAAGAAACCAGAGAGGGATGTGCAATCTGTCAATGCGGTTGAGGTGTGGAAGCATTCAGACTTCGTTTGCCGAAACTATGTGTTGAACGGGCTGCATGATGCTCTCTATGATGTCTATAGCAAGCTAGCTGGAGCTATGGAACGCTTTGAACCACAAGTACAAATGCGAGGATGTCGGCGCAAAGAAATTTGTTGGTCATTTCCTTGACTTTAAAATGGTGGATTCAAAGATGGTCTTGAGTCAGGTTGAGGAGATTCAAATGATCTTCAACAAGATTCGAGATGAGGGGATGGAGGTTAGTGAATCTTTCCAAGTGGCGTTAATCATCCACTTATTGCCGCCGGCATGGAAGGACTTCAAGAAATACCTTAAGCACAAGCGTAAGGAGACGAACTTGGAGCAATTAATGATCCTACGTCTTCGGATTAAAGAGGACAATCGCAAGAATGATGGAATTTTTCCAGTCGTTAGTGGCACCAAAGCCAATGTGGTGTAGCATGCTAAAGGCTCCAAACCCAGGTTCGGTGGAAAGAACAAGCTCTGTCCCAAGGGAGGCATTTCCAAACCAAAGTTTAATGGACAATGCTTCAATTGCAACAAGAATGGACACAAGTCCTGAGATTGCAAAGCACCAAAGAAGAAAGATTCTCAAGTCAACGTGGTGCGAGGTGGTAAAGAGGAGGGAGAAATGATCCTCTCTGCTGTGGTGACTGAGGTCAAGCTAGTTGGTTCAAACTCCAAGGAGTGGTTTGTCGACACCAGAGCTACCTGGCACATTTGCTCAAACCGGGAGCTGTTCAGTACCTTTGAGGCCTCAAATGGCGAGAAGGTATGGATGGGAAATTCAGCCCATTCCGCTATTGAAGGAACATACAAGGTGGTCCTGAAGATGACTTCGGGCAAGGAACTGACTCTGAAACAGGTGCTGTTTGTTCCAGAAGTGCGCAGGAATTTAATCTCTGGGTCGGTGCTGAACAAACACGATTTCCGTATGGTCTTTGAGTCGGACAAATTAGTTTTGTCTAAATCGAGAATGTATGTGGAAAAGGGATATGTGGCTGATGGGCATTTTAAGCTCAATGTAATGACTAATAACAATAACAATAACAATAACAATAACAATAACAATAACAATAACAATAACAATAACAATAACAATAACAATAACAATAACAATAACAATAACAATAACAATAACAATAACAATAACAATAACAATAACAATAACAATAACAATAACAATAACAATAACAATAACAATAACAATAACAATAACAATAACAATAACAATAACAATAACAATAACAATAACAATAACAATAACAATAACAATAACAATAACAATAACAATAACAATAACAATAACAATAACAATAACAATAACAATAACAATAACAATAACAATAACAATAACAATAACAATAACAATAACAATAACAATAACAATAACAATAACAATAACAATAACAATAACAATAACAATAACAATAACAATAACAATAACAATAACAATAACAATAACAATAACAATAACAATAACAATAACAATAACAATAACAATAACAATAACAATAACAATAACAATAACAATAACAATAACAATAACAATAACAATAACAATAACAATAACAATAACAATAACAATAACAATAACAATAACAATAACAATAACAATAACAATAACAATAACAATAACAATAACAATAACAATAACAATAACAATAACAATAACAATAAAAATAACAATAACAATAACAATAACAATAACAATAACAATAACAATAACAATAACAATAACAATAACAATAACAATAACAATAACAATAACAATAACAATAACAATAACAATAACAATAACAATAACAATAACAATAACAATAACAATAACAATAACAATAACAATAACAATAACAATAACAATAACAATAACAATAACAATAACAATAACAATAACAATAACAATAACAATAACAATAACAATAACAATAACAATAACAATAACAATAACAATAACAATAACAATAACAATAACAATAACAATAACAATAACAATAATAATAATAATAATAATAATACTAATAATAATAATAATAATAATAATAATAATAATAATAATAAAATCCCTTCTACTTACTTGCTTGAGTCTCTCAATGTGTGGCATGGTAGACTAAGACATGTTAATTTTAATTCTATACATAAATTAATTAACATGGAATACATTCCTAAATTTAAAATTGATGTGAAGCACAAATGTGAAGTTTCTTTAGAGGCAAAACAAACGAAAACATCTTTCAATCGGTTGAAAGAAAAATGGAACCACTAGAATTAATTCATAGTGACGTTTGTGATTTTAAATCAATAAAAACATGTGGCCGTAATAAATATTTTATTACCTTTATCGATGATATCACTAGCTATAGCTATGTTTTTTTGTTGAAAAATAAACACGAAGCAATTGATAAATTCATTCTTTATAAGAATGAAGTGGAAAACCAACTCAATCGACGGATTAAAACGATTAAGTAATGGCAGGGATGGACCCAAATGTGGAAGTGGGCTATTCCCCCCTAAAATCAAGAACTTCTTTTGGCAAGTGTGTGCAGGATTTCTCCCGACTCAGTGGGCTTTGCGTTGCAGGAGGGTAAACTGCCCGTTGATCTGTGGATTGTGCAAGGGGGCAGAAGAGACGCTGCTGCACTTGTTTGCTAAATGTCCTCTAGCGTTGGAGGTGGGGTGTATTTTGGGATGGCAGGAGGCGCTGCACTCGACATCATCATTTCTAGAGTGGGTGGAGATTAATTTCCTTTGTGTGGGGGTGCTGGGGAATATGGTGTGAACGAAACCAGAGGGTATGGCAGCAGCGGGAGGATTCACCAGCTCAGATAGTGCACCGGACGAAGGCTTATGTTAAAGGATGGGCTACGGCACGGAAGAAAGGAGGTGGCTTCGAATGGCAGCACCTTTCCGAGAAGCTGTGTGGCAGAGACCATCATCTGGCAGATTGAAAATAAATGTTGATGCTTCGGTGGCTGCTTCAAGTTGTGGCTTCGGATGGGTGGTAAGGGACGGTCGATGGGAGTTCCGAGGTGGAGGAGCCTGTCCGTGGATGGGTGGATGTATTCCAGTTGAGGCTGAATTGCTGGCCATAAGAGAGGCTCTCAACTGGGCAAAGGAACAACAATACACTGTTCTTGTTGTTGAGTCAGATTCACTGCAAGCTATCTCGGAAATTTCAAAGGGTTGTAGTTGTATACAGGTCTTTTAGCGGAAGATATTAGGGAAAGTTCCCGAAATAGGACTAAAACAGTTTGATAATTCCAAAATAGGACTGACATGTTTTTTATTCCCAAAAATGGGAGTAACTACTATCAAGTTTGGAAAATACTGCTATGCTTGAAGTCTGGTACTGCTAAAACATGACAGTAATTAGTCCTATTTTGGGATTAAAATCATGGCAGCCCTATTTTGGAATTTTCAAACATTTTTAGTCCTATTTCGGGTAATATCTCAAGATATTAAGGCTATTGGTATGCATTTCGAGAGCATTTCCTTTTCTCACACGAGGCGTTCTGCGAACAGAGTTGCTCATGCTTTAGCTTTGGTGGCATGTTCCTTGTCTGATCGCCGAATTTGGCATTATGTTCCTCCTGATTGTATTACTCCTGAACTCCAGCATGATTTAATTAATAATAGATAAAGCATCATTTTCAAAAAAATAATGTAAGATAGTTAATAGTTGGAATTATTCTTGTGAATTTTTCCTTAAAAATAAGAAATACTCAATAAATTAGAATATACATCATAAATCAACGTTATAATCGAATAAATAAATTATTTTCATACTAAAAATAAAAAATCATTTTAACTCGTGCACTGCGCAAGTCAAGATATAACTCCCTCATCCCGCAAAGATGTTCCTGCTTTGACTTATACACTTATTAAGTAAATAAACTTACTTGAGGTAAATTTTATTGTTTTGACACTGTTTTGCGTTGTTTGGCATAATTTTTTAGTGTTGTACATATTGTACACACTCCTCCAGATGCCATTTTGGTAAATTACAGAGATTGAAGTGCACACGCTGCGCACATCCGAGCACTATTTGCAGACACGCGACTATGGGAAGGAGTATTTCTCGGTCGCCGTCTTACCCTAGGAGGAGATCCTCTCGGTCGCGGTCACCCGTAAATCACCGCTATGCCAACCATAGAAGCCGCCGGGACCATAGCCGTTCACCTTACTCTAGCAGGTATTATCTTAGGAATTCTATTTTCATGTTTTGACTTCAAAGAAATATATAGTCAAGTACTAGTGCTTTAAGGGAATGCTCAAAGCACCGTGTTTATCTGCACATCGTTTCATTTTTACAAATATGTTTCTTTTTTCGCATTTCAAGCTGATTATTGACCAATCAAGCCATTATAAGGTACTTCTGTGAGTGTGGATATAATGTTGTCTGAATAATTTAGAATGTTTAGTAGTTTGGGGAAGCATCAAGTTTGTCCTTAAGTGGAAGTGAAGATCTGTGGGAGGTCACAGTTTGGTTATTGGGTAACTATGGAGAAGAAATTGTACTCATGTCCTAAAAAATTGATTCTTTAGAAAAGGGAACACATTTGGAGAAATATTATTAAATGAAATTTCTATCCCTGTAAAAGTTTTTTTGAAAGACAGAATGACATTTAATATGAAAAGTATGTGAAGATTAATTGGGAAGATTAATGCCCAATATGCATTACATTTGTGAAATGATAATTATATTTGGCCAACAAAATTGGCTAAAACCACTATAATTTGGGTCAGATGGAGTATTTGATAGCTGAAGATGTTTTAGAGCTACCACCTTCAATGTTGTAAGTAAAACTCTATACGTCAAATGGCTTCAAATTTTGTTTAATCAGGGATACACGCATAGTTGTCATGGTGGCGTCTATAAAGGTTATAGCCATAGTCGTGAGCTGGTGGGAAATTATAGATCCTCTAGCTTTTCTGGCTGAGAGATTTCAAACAGGAGGGAAGAGGATGTGTGATATTTACATTGTCAATTTACGTTTTGATGATTGGAAAGAAAGTGAAGATGCATATTTATATAGAAACACATTATTTGACTAAACATATTGTTATTTTCTAGTCTAAACTAACAGATATAGAAGATTTAGTTGAAGTGTTGAACAAAAAGTAATACCCCCATCCATTCTCTGATTTCTCTCCCAAATCCCCAACCAAACAACTCCTTAATCAAATGCTTCAAAATTTCTTGATGAAATTGCGGAATTGTAACCACCTCCTTTAACGTTATTTTGTTATCAATTAATCTCATATGTTTTACTTCTTGTATTGCACAGGAGAAGAAGTCGTTCGCCACCTTTAAGACACAGGAGAAGCCGTTCCCCTACACCCAAACGCCATAGGAGAAGACAAAGTCGGAGTTCTTCCTTGGATTCTCCATCACCCAAGTCTCGTAGTCCTAGTATTCAATCAGCTGATCTTAAAAGTGCAGTAGAGAAACTTAAAAAGGAAGAAGAAGAAAAGAAAAGGTATCTGGCACTGAATTACTAGTCAATTCTATTTTAACTAGTAAATTAGTTAACACTAGTTAGTTTGTGTAGACTTGTGCTTGTATTTCCTTCAGTCAAATCCAAACGGTTTCTGGAGTCATGATATTGTGTTAATAGTGAAGTATAGAAAGTAGTAATGATATTACTTGAAAGATGAGCTTCGTTTGATCAAGTAGGGTTTTTCGGGACAAAAGAATCTTTGATAACAGGATTGATTTGTTTTCTGCCGGATGGAATATTTAACAATAGCCTGGTCCATATTAGGTCATTTTCGGCTTGTATTGCCGCCTATGAAGCACGGATACTTCCCTAGGATAGCGTATTGGCGTATCGGATACGTTCCTGTATCCGATACTCTAGGATACCCGTACCGTACGTTCCCGGGCCGTATCTGCAATTTTTAAAAGTTTCCATTTTTTTTTGTAATTTTTTGAAAGTTTCCGATACTCGTATCCTGACGGATACCCGTATCAACTTTTTTTTAAAAAAAAAATCCCAAAATTTACTTAATAAAATTCTAAAATACATGAAAATCTAAAACTACATTTTACTTGGTAATCAAATAATGGGCCTATATGGCTATATCCGAATTAAGTCATTAACTCATACTCCGAAGTGGGTACTTGCACTTTTAATTTCAAGATTGTAGTTGTTTGACTTATTTCTCATTTTAAATTAATGACTTATTGACTACATTTATATTTCGAGATACACTAGTGTATATGAGAAATATTATGAATTTATTACTAAGTATCTTGAAAAAGAAAAATGTTTCAATGCAATGAATGGGTAGACATCATAGGATATTATATGTGTATATATATATATATTCAAAAAAAAATCTATTTTTAATATTTATAAATAGACCCCTATAACTTTTAATATTTGTAAATACGCCCCCGTAACTTTTAATATTTATAAATATGGCCCCGTATCCGTATCCTACTTTTTTTGGTTTTGACGTATCCCCGTACCCGTTTCCGCGTTTCCGCGTACCGGTATCGGTGCTACATAGAATTTGCCGCGGGTTGTGTTGTGTCTTAATCTTTTTACTACCAAAGCTGTATTGCTGTGCCCTTATACAATCTTACAACATGAATTGTTTTAGACTTCAACTAGAGGCTGAGCTCAAGCAGTTAGAAGAGGAGACAGCAAACAGATTGGAGGAAGAAATAAGGAAAAGGGTTGAGGAGAAGTTGGCTTCTGACGAAGTTAAACTGGAAATTGAAAAACGAGTGGAAGAAGGTCAGAGAAAACTGTTTGAGGATGTTGAAGCTCAACTGAGAAAAGAAAAAGAAGATGCTCTCAATGAGGCAAGGCGAAAAGAAGTAAGAAACTATTTGAAAACACTTTTGTTTCCACTCTCTCAAATTAAATGACCCCAACAAATAAGTGCAAAAATGTCCTCTATATTTATATCTTCGACCAATTTCTTACCTCTACAACTTCTTTTTAACCAATGCATCATGACTGATCAGACCTTTAGTGTTCATTTAGAATTCAGAGAAGGCTAGGGAAAGAAAATGAGGAAAATATAGGGAGCAAAATTTGAAGGAAAGGAAATGCACTTAAACTAAAAAAATTGGTTCAAAACTATAAATTTATTTTTGTATAGTAAGTTTTCAAGCTCATTGAATTCATTTATTTCAATTTTGAAAAGCATTAATCAAACGTGTTCCCTTTCATTTCTGGTTTGAAACCAAACACGAGATAATATTTTTCCTTAATATTTTTCCTTAAAATTTCACTTTCAACGATCCAAACATAGCCTTGAGGTATTTGCCTAATTGGGAGTGATGGTTGTGAAACGAATGGAATGAAACAGGAGCAAGCAAGGAAAGAGAGAGATGAACTGGACAAGATGCTGGAGGAGAACCGGAGGAGGGTGGAAGAGGCCCAGAGAAAGGCTCTCGAACTTCAGCGTAAAGAGGATGACCGACTTCGTGAGTTGGAGCTCATCCAAAGACAAAGAGGTGCTTGGCTTAGTAGAGATAAGCAGCAGCAGCAGCTCTAATTCGGTGGCTTAATGAGCTGGAATCTGTTTATTGTACAACACTGGAATCTATTTGTTGTACAACTGACGCTCATCTTTTTAATATATAAAAGCAAAAGAATTTTAGGAATAGGGTTCCCGCTCAAATATGTCAACATCAAGGCAAATAGTAACATACTCCCTCCGTCCCCTTAAGTTTGTCCCGTTTTACCTTTTTCGTCCGTCCCACTAAGTTTGTCTCATACCATATTTGGTAACATTTGAGTGGTTAGAATTCATTCTTACTTTATTTACACTTTATCAATTCAATACCAACCACACAATTCCACTTTTTCTTAAAATCCACACCACACCCCTTTGTCCCAAACTTAGGGGACGGAGGGAGTAATAGATAGCAAAAGATTAAAAATTCTCCACACCCAAAGGAATAGGGATATATGCGTAAGATAATTTCCAAGCTGACATTGCGTACAGAATAAGATTAAAAATTGAAGTAAAGGAGATAGTGTACAGTGATAAAGTTGAAAGGCCCATGCTCACAGTGTTCACTCAACAGTTTAAAGTAGATTTTGGAGGATTTTAGGGGAAATATTTGGAAAGAGCAATTCCTATTGGTTGATGTAGAGGTGGCTATTGGGGGGAAGCACCACGAACAAGTTTAAAATGAATATAAAAATACAAATATCTAGATAAGATTTAAGAGCTCATGCTCATGAGGTGCAATGTCTTAAAAAATCTTATGCGTATAGTTTACTCATTCCATTTTTCATGACTAAGGCTCAGTTTGCAACTACTTATGCTTAAATAAAAACATTTTTCGGGAAAAAGTGATTAGTAGTAAAAGTTGGTAGTGTTTGGTAAAATATGTGCTTTTTGTGTAATAGAAAAAGTAAAAAGTAGATTCTACACGAAAATCGATGAAGTAAAAGTTGATAGTGTTTGGTAAATCAAGTGCTTTTTTCTTAAAAAAAAGCCAAAATCACTTTTTTTAATTGATTGCAAACAAGCCCTAATGCTCTCAGATTCATACATACGGAGTAATTTTTAGGCAACTAGATTTTAGAACGAAAACTTTGGCTATAAAAGCATAGTTCTATCCAAGAGATCCCTCACACTTGCTCGAAAGCTTCCACAACAAACTTCTAGCTTCTCTGATTTCTCTCTTCCTCAAAGTCTGACTGAGAAAAATAGGGATGAATATGCACGGTACAATTATATAAATCCACAAACACACACTGCGGTATGCATTTGTCACAGACTATTATTTTGTGGAGTGTCAGTAATAATAACATTTATAAAGGAAAACTACCATGAAAATACCAGTCCACACAATTTCAATTAAGTTTTGAATGAGTTTTTATTCTTCTTTTCCGGTAAATATAAATATGTTGGAATGAAATGTTGGGATATCCACGTATGCGTTTGAAATACATGGACATAGATGACACAAACATTTGATATATGAAAAAAAGTTCACTTACACAACCAATCACCAAATCCTCGAGTCTTTAAAGCAAATTAAAAATAATATAATTAAGTAATACTCCGTAAAAAACCCCTGAGATCTATTCTAGGTCAGATGGCTCATGAAGTCATGAAGAAAAAATCATTTTTCATTCAATTTTATAAGACATGAAAAGTAAACAAAGATGTATTACGAGTAATGGTAAAACATATAGGTTAAAGATTAATAATTATCAAATTATGAACATATTAACCATGATTTTGAAAAAAAAATCGAAAGTAAGTATTTGAATTTAAGATATATATATGGCCCTGAAAACAACTCTCATCACCATAAAAAAGTAGATCTTTGTGTAAAGCCTTGAAAAATAACATACACACCTACTGCCATGTTAACGAGGGAGGCATGAGAACTAAAAAGCTACTAAGAAATGGATTTAGCAACATACCGTCATCACTTAAAGCAGATCATCAATCTGGACTTCATACATTCAGTAAAACATATACCTCAAATCAATACTTCGAAATAATATGAGCACTAGATTATATTTTCAATCGCATATATAAAATTAAAAATCCGATTTGAGTTAAATCAGCGAGTATTAATGGGACACATCTATCAGATCTAGATAAAGTAACGATAAATCGGTGGATTTGAGAAATGAAATTGAAGGGCGGTGATAAGTAGAAGTGTGCAACTCCACTTGGGATGTTTGAGTGGGTAGATGAATTTTTTCTATAAACTGAAGGGTTTTTGAGAAAATAGTGTAATGGGCACCCCTTACGTTTTACTCCGTATTTGACTATTGAGGTCATTTAAACAAATTTTAAACTCATGTGATATCACTAATTATTTTTTTTTCAAAAACTTAAAACAAGATAAGATGTAAGATTTTAACTCACGTAATATCACCAGGGGCGGAGCCAGGACTCTGGGTCGGGCTGGGCCGGTACAAAGATTATTTTTGAAAAAAAAAAAACTACACGAAATTTTTTATACAAAAAAATTGGACACTTAAAATTTGACCGGGGTCAAGGTTGGCCCTCGCCTAGCTACGCCTATGCGTGTTCCATTGCAGAAAATGATCTTTCTGTTGTTGCAGTCAATGTTTGAAATTGCGCACTGTGGAGTTGAGGCGTTTTTTTCCCAAGACGTATTGCGTAAGCCTCAAAGCGCATTGAGGCGTAAGGCTAGGGCGTAAATTTTAATGCATGAGAAATTTTTATATAAAAATTTATAATCACTAAGAAATAAAAATTCCTGTAAAGTAACATACTTAATTACCAAACTAACAATAATGTCATAAAATTATGGAAATTTTAGTTGAAAATGGCATCATAGAAGTTCTTTAACCTAAAATTCTAAGTTGTTCATTTATGAATGGAAAAAGAATTGCTAATGGTAATATGAGTACATAATTCGATATATTAATCTAATCCAAATTAAAGAATATATACGATTATACTTGAAACAAAAATTCAAATGTTATGAATAAGAGAGAATTCCCTAAATAGGAATAAAAACGTTTTGAAATTCCAAAATAGGAGTATCATGTTTTTTATTCTTTGAATAGGAGTAATCTGTCAAGTTTGGAAGAAAATGACATGTTTAAAAGTCTTGTAATGTCAAACTTGGCAGAAATTTACTCCTATTCAGGGAATAAAAAACATGATACTCCTATTTTGGAATTTCAAAACGTTTTTACTCCTATTTAGGTCAATTTCTGATAAGTAAAACTTCACTAATAATAAAGAAAAGAATTGAATATAAATAATTAAAAACATTGCCAGAAACATAAAAAAAAACATACGAGTAGTAAAATACGTGGCAACAACTAATTAATTTCAAGCCTAAACAAACATTAAACTAAAATGGAATCCACTCAAAAGGATATTGCCTGCAGGCTGCAGCGTATCAAAAAGCTTACAGATACGTGATGCGTCCAATGTCCGTGATGTCCGTGCCAGAATGGAATCCACCCTTGCTGTTTTGTTTCTTTTGTTAAGATGAGCATTGGACCGTTTTTTGCACTGGGCCAGAATGGATCTGCACTGGGCCACTATTTTTCTTGCACTGGACTAATTCTAAAAAAAATTTAAAAACTATATATATAATAAAAAAATATAAAAAATTACCCTGGGCCATGGCCCAGCCAGACCACCCCTCCCTCCGCCCCTGAATATCACTATGACTATTTATGTTTCAAAAACTTAAAATAAGATGCGAGTAAGATGTAAAAGCCTATTTGATGGGAATAAGCATTCAATTCAGTCCAAAAAAAATAAATTAACTACGATGTATGGAGTACTTCTTATTTTGATTATTATACTCCCTCCGTTGTCTAATAGATGAGAGTATAGCCTTTGTTACAAGATTTAAGATGAAATTAATAAGGTAGGATAAAAGGTGTAGTGAGTTGTGTGTAAAGGAAAAGTTGGAAAGAAAATGAGGGTAAATGGGTATACTTATTGAAAAAACTTACCAAAAATGAAAATGGAGACAACTAATAGAAAACATCCCAAAATGGGAAGAAGAACAATTATTAGAGAACGGAAGGAGTACAATTTAGAGTAAAATAAAAATTACATATTTGACGAAAATGTTGATTGATAAGTCAGATAAATTCAAAAGAGGAGTTATCAAACGACTCTAATCAACACCAAAGCATCAATTAGAACACATAAATAAAACACCTTTTATGCGTATAAAAATGAAGCAAGGGAAAGTACGGAGAAGGGAATAAGTTGAGTGGCATTCATAAAGAGTGAAAAATGAAGTTGACGGTGGGGTTTGCCGGTTTGGAGAGAACAATTTTGTTCACCTTCAAAAGAGGGTGAACTATAGCCCACCCTATTGGACGGCCACATGGATCTTTTAAATTTTACAATTGTTATAAGTTTTTCGTTTTGGTTCAATTTTTTCAAATATAATATATCTGTGTTTTTTAATTTTTATGGTCTTTCATATGGTATTAATATTGTATATGTCAAATAAAAACGGCTAAAAATAGATTTAAGAGAAAAAAATTTGTTTTTTTAATTTTTTTATATGCTGAAAAAATAAATTTGATATGTTTTTTGTGAAAAAATAGATTATATATACTATCGTGTGTGTGTGTGTGTGTGTGTGTGTGTGTGTGTGTGTGTGTGTGTGTGTGTGTGTGTGTGTGTGTGTGTGTGTGTGTGTGTCTATATATATATATATATATAACCACCGGTTGTCGGAGTTTTCACGAGTTTGCATTTTAAGTATGGTTTGCATTTGATCTCTTACCTATATATATATATATATCCCTTAATATATATATATATATATATATATATATATATATATATATATACACGGTTAAGATCAGATACAAAGTATGTTTCCCGTACATAATACAAAATCATCTCATCCGTCCAATATTATAAAATTAAGGGTTAGATTTTATTTTTGAGCATTAATACTCACCGTATTACTGGGGGAGTTTTTTCCCCTTAACCAAAACATGCGGACATGTGGTTAGTGAGAATGTTTTCCTATCTCAACCGTTGCCTCATTAAAATGAACGATTAGGATTAATTTGCATTTTGTAAATTAGGAGTAGTTTGTATGTGATCCTAAATATATACACACACACACATATATATATATATAGTACAAGTTATAATAGTTTTATTAAAAAATAAGTGTAATGTCAAATGGCATCCGCATTAGCCGGGGAGAGGGACGTTTAATTTCAAGGGGCCATGACCCCTCATATTTTATTATTTTCAATACTACTCCCTCCGCCTCATTGGACTTTGCCAACCTTTCCTTTTTCGATGTCTCA